CTCTCAGAAATAAATAAAAACATTTAAAAAATTTAAAAAAAAAAAAAAGAGAAGGACTCATTGAGATGAAATTAAAATGAAGACTTGAAATAGGAAGAGAAGCATTCCAGGCAGAGTGATTATTACATGTGAAGATTCAGAGGAGGGAAACAAAATTGTGCTTGAAAAAGTCTTGAAAAACGGTAATGTGGCTGGAGCTTGGTAAATAACAATAACATACTGTTGGATAGGTAGGCAGGAGCTAGTTCATGTCCAGCTTTATAGGCAAGACTAAAGAGTTTGAAAAGATTTTCTAAGTACTGTGGAAGGACATTCTCCTGGAGAGTAATCTTGACCCTATTGATGTTTTCAATGCTCACACTGGCAGCTTTGTGAAGTCTAGATAGGAGTGCAGGGTTGGGGTGGGAAGATGGAGAGATGGGGAGCAAAGGTAGAAAGGGGAAAGCCCATGAGGCTATGTAGTTGTGTGTGGTCCAGGCAAGAAAGGATGGTTGCTTGTACTAGAATGGTGATGGGGAACTGGTTAGCTTTTGTGGGTGAAATGGACAAAAACAAGGTAATTGATTTGAAATGGATAGTGTGAGAGGAGGAACTATAAAGGATAACAACTGGGGTTTTGGCTTAAACAGTAGAATGGATGGTGACTCATTTTCTCAGATGACTGGCTGCTAGTTTGTGATACTTTTTTAACAAGTCATCAAATAGTCTTCACAAATAGTCTTCCTGCTTTTCTAGTGTTGTTTTTAAGCTAGGTGTGGATGTTGAATTTTATCAAATGTTTTGTAGCTTTTATTGTTTATACTATTTAATTGTTTTAGTTAAGACTCTTTTAGTTTCAAGCATAAGAACCCCAACTCAGGGCACCTGGGTAGCTCAGTCCGTTGAGTTTAGCTCAAGTCATGATCTTATGGTTTGTGAGTTCCAGCCCTGTATCAGGCTCTGTGCTAACAACTCAGAGCCTGGGGCTTGCTTCAGATTCTCTGTCTCTCAAAAATAAATAAACATTTCAAAAAATGTTTAGAAAATAAAAGAAACCCAACTCATTGATTTAAGCAAAAAATTAGGAGGAATTTCAACATCATGGGTCCACTTAGACTCGAACTTTTTACAGTACTGTAAATGTATATCTCTTCCTTATGATTTTTTAATGTTTGTTTACTTTTGAGAGAGAGAAAGGGAGCACAAGTGGGGCAGTGGGTGAAGGAGGTGGGGGAAGGACAGAGGATCGAAGCAGGTTCTGCACTGAGAGCAGCGTGCCTGATGCAGGGCTTGAACTCACCCAGCCGTGAGATCACCACCTGAGCTGAAGTCAGACACTCAGCCAGCTGAATGACTCATGCACCCCATTCCTTATGATTTTCTTAATGTTTTCTTTTCTTTAGCTTGCTTTATTGTAAGAATAGAGCATATCGTATATATAACATGCAAAATATGTCTTAATCAACTGTTTTATAGTATCAGTAAGGCTGCCAGTCAACAATAGGCTATTAGTAGTTAAGTTTTGGGGAAATCAAAAGTTATACATGGATTTTCAACTGCACGAGGTGGTAAGGTTGGCACCCAACCCCTGCATTGTTCAAGGGTCAGCTGTACCAAATCAAGTAAACCTTCCCAGAGGGGTAGGGGTAAACTTTCCTTTTGGGCTCAATTATATGGCTACTAGGGTCTTAAGTAATATCCCTCGAACTGGTGTGTCTCTCTTTCTTTTTCCCTACATTCCTCTTCTCTTCCATCTCTGTGTCCATCTCTTACTTGCTCTTTATATTACTTTCACCCTCAGACATAACCTCACTAAGAATAGCTCCTAAACAGTCCTAGGCTCCAGGCTTCTAGTTGTAGGTAAAGAAAGAATTATCCTGTCTTCCAAACACTTTCAGTAAAACTTTAAGGATTTACTCTTTGACTATGCTGAGTTACATTACAGCTCCAGCTAAAGACTCCTTATTTTTCCAAGAACCATTAAAGTGCTCTTGTTATCAGAAGGGAAAAAATAACAGACCTTCACTCTCCACTGTAACATTTCTATTAAAAGATTCACTTTCAGGGCACCTGGGTGGCTCAGTCGGTTGAGCATCCAGCTTTGGCTCAGGTCATGATTTCAGGGTTTGTGGGTTTGAGCCCCGCGTGGGGCTCTGTGCTGACAGCTAGCTCAGAGCCTGGAGCCTGTTTCAGATTCTGTATTTCCCTCTCTCTCTGACCCTCCCCTGCTCATGCTGTCTCTTTCTCTCTCTCAGGAATAAATAAACATTAATAATAAATAAATAAATAAATAAAGGATTCACTTTCACTGATACTCCTAAAATTCCTGGAATGAACCATAATTGTGTATAGTATGTTACTATTTTTCTTTGTGTGTAGATTCTATTTGTGAATATCTTGTTTAGAATTTTTAACATCACTTTCCTAAGTGAAAATCATTAGTACTTCTTTATTTAGAAAATATTATATTTGCCAGATTTTAACCTTGTTATGCAGCTTTCCAAAAAAAGAATCAGTAACGTTTCCATTTTGACTTGTGCCATGGAATAATTTAAATAACACAGGAATTACCCATAACAGTAGATTAGGAAAAATTCATCCATGAACCTTTTTGGCATGACACTTGTTTTTGAAATTATTCCATGTTTGTTAGAGACTGTGTGTTCTATATTTTCTTGAGTCAGTATGGGCAGTTTTTAATTTTTCTAGTCTGCCATCCTTTTCACTCAGGTTTTCACATTGATTAACTTAGTTATAATTTTTAAATTCTTGCTTTTTCACACTTGTATATATTTTTTATGCTTTGCTCCTCTTGGCTAGATTAACTGAGACATCTCTTAATTATTCCTTTAAAAACTATCTCTTGGTATGAGTTATCAATTTAATTTTCTCCCTAATCATTAATTTCTGCTTTTTTTCTTATTTTTCCCATGAAGCTTAGCTTAAATATTTGTATTCCCTTTTTAACGTCTTGAATAAATTCTTAATTATCTTTTATATGATTTTTTTTAAATTGCTCATCAGTAACTTTTTTTTTTAATATTTTTATTTATTTCTAGGAGAGAGACAGAAAGACAGCATGAGCAGGGGAGGGTCAGAGAGAGAGGGAGATACAGACTCTGAAACAGGCTCCAGGATCTGAGCTGGCAGTCAGCACAGAGCCCAACGCGGGGCTCGAACCCACGAACCGCGAGATCGTGACCTAAGCGAAAGTTGGACGCTTAACCGACTAAGCCACCCAGGCGCCCCTATATGATTTTATAAAATGAGATTAGGAATTTTCTTTTTTTAAATATGTTTTTTAATGTTTATTTTTGAGAGAGAGTGTGAATGGGGGAGGGACAGAGAGAGAGAGGGAGACACAGAATCTGAAGCAGGCTCCAGGCTCTGAGCTGTCAGCAGAGCCTGACATGAGGCTTGAACCCACGAACTATGAGATCATGACCTAAGCTAAAGTCGGATGACCGACTAAGCCACTCAGGTGCCCCGAGATTAGGAATTTTCTTAGAATAATTTTACCCACATCCAAAAGACTTTGATATTAGGATTTTCATTATAAACATTTTCTAGATAGTCTGTGTTGGAAGTTTTAATTGCTTTAAGTCAAAATTGTTTAGGTGTGAATTATAAAATTTATTGCATGGGGCGATCAATCAACTTATTACAATTTTGGGGAAATATTGTGATTTTCTTGAGTCATGGTATATTGTTATAATGTTCCATGGCTTGATAAGAAGGCACATTGCCTGTAAGAAGGCACATTGCCCGCAAGTTCAACATGAGTCTATCAGACGGGGGTGGAATGTAGAGGAAGGGTTGTTTATTTTAAATAGCGTGATTAGAGGAAGGCCTATTAGATACATTGACAGACTGGAATGAAGTGAGGAAGCAATAGGAGCAAAAGCCTTGATAAGTTATCTTAAGTTTGATTTAATTGAAAGATGTAAACTCAGGTCTAGTTCTGTATTTAACCTGTTCTATATTTCTACTTCAATGATACTAATTCAGAGCACACCTATTTGCATAGTTAGTACTAATATCGTACTTGACCACAAGGCAGTCGTAAACACAAATACCTATTATCGAAATATTTCAGTTACCATTATGATACAAAATTAAAACTTCTCATAGTACTCTTGAGCCCCTGAGGATATGGGCATGTTTCCACAGAAGACCCAGTTTGCGAACTACTATCCTTACCCATTGTTCTTTAGACTTTCCCATTTCACTCTCAAGGGAAGAGGTAGAGAGAGAAACAATGGGATTCTTCTTGTTGAATTCATGTTAGAATTAAGGTTTTGTTGATGAGTGAACTAGAGTGAAGGCATTTGGTCTTTTTCTTGGCTGCTTGTGTCCCCCAAGCCTTATCCCTCCAAATTGTGAGATACATGGAAGAGCTTTCAGAATTTTATCTGCTTAATTTTCTAAACTACTTCTACTACCACCACTACTACTATTGCCCATTCTATAAGAAATCCACATGGATTCCCAGCATTTTCTTTCATTTTGGTTAAAATTGTTCTGTGTCTACTTAGTACTTCTTCAAATGCATGAGCTTAGGACACTCATGTAGTAACAGCATTGATGGTATATTCTTCCAATTTCTTCCTGTCTGTGTTCTTTACTTTGTGTTTGGAGAATGGACTTCCAATAATCCTGTACTTGTACAACTGTTTTCTCAGAAGTCAACTTTTCTCATTTTTATTGAATGGTTAAGAGAGCCTTTTCCAGGGCACCTTGGTGGCTCAGTCAGTTAAGCGTCTGTCTTCAACTGAGGTCATGATCTCACAGTTTGTGGGTTCAAGGCCCGCATCAGGATCTCTGTTATCAACACGGAGCCCTCTTCTGATCCTCTGTCTCCCTGTCGCTCTGCCCCTCTCCTGTTGGTGTACTCTCTCTCTCTCAAAAATAAAAATAAACGTTAAAAAAAAGAAAAAGACTTTTCCTACAAGTCATGTGGTAGAATAACTTCATTTTAATTTAAAACTAACAGCTAATTATATTTTTTAATCACTTGATAGGTTGGAATCCGAGGTACTGATATAGTTGTGCTTGGAGTAGAAAAGAAATCTGTTGCCAAGCTTCAGGATGAAAGAACTGTAAGGAAAATTTGTGCCCTTGATGACCACGTTTGCATGGCCTTTGCAGGTATTTATGGACCTACAGTAACAATAGAGTATCTTAGTGTTGTAAGGTAATACAGTTGCGCCCCCCACCCCACAGCTGTCGTGCTATATTTACACAACATACACAGATATACCCCATTTCTTAATTTGATGCAAACAGCATACCCTATCTTTTCTGGAAAATCACACCTCTAAAACATGGATTTCTAATAATTAGCTTTGATAAAACATAAATGTTAAACAAGACATATTATAGTACCTCAATTATGAGCTTAAGTAACTGTTTTCTTTTTAAACTTTTTATTTTTAAATTATAGATACTCAGGAAGTCCTAAAACAACACAGGGAAGTTTCCTTTACTGAGTTTCCCCCAACAGTAACATCTTCAAAAACCAACAAATTGAGATTGTTACAAGCCACAGAGTTTATATAAACAGTTTTACTTGCACTCATTTGCATGTTTACGTGTGTGTGTGTTTGTAGTTTTATGAGACTTAGCAAGTGTGTAAGTTCATGTAACCATCACCACAATCAAGGTCCCCAGCTCTTCCTCAGCACAAGGCCACCGCATGCTAGTCTTCCTCATCTCTAGCCTCTGGCAACATGAACCTTCTCTTCTCCATGTCTATAATTTTGTCCTTTTGAGAATGTTACATGAATAGAATTCTGATTATAATCATTTCATCTTGGCCTTTCTCATTCAGCATAATTCCCCTACAGTTCATCCAAGTTGCCGCATATGTCAGTAGTCACTTGCTTTTTATTGCTGAATAGTTTTCCATGATATGGATGTACCACACTTTGTAAACAACTCACTGGTTGAAGGACATTTGGATTATTTCTAGCTTTTGCCTCTTACAGAGAAAGCTGGTGAACATTTGTGTACCAGGTCTTGCATGAACCTGGGTTTTCCTTTTTTGCAATAAATGTTCAAGAGCACAATTCCTGGATCATATGGTAATGCATGCTTAGTTTTATAAAAAAAATGACAAGTGGTTTTCCAGAGTAGCTGAACTATTTTACATTCTTACTGGCAGTTTATGAACAATTCATTTTCTCTGCATCCTCAGCAGCCTTTGTTTTTTTTACTTTAAATTTTAGACATTTTTATAAGTGTGTAGTGATATATCATTGCGGGTTTAATTTGCATTTGACTGATGGCTAATGATGTTGAACATAATTTTCCTGTGCTTAGTTGCTATAGGGATATAGCAAACAAGGCGTGTTTCTTGTCATGTGTGCTTGCGCACGCACCCATTTTCTTTCTTTTTTTGTTTGAAATAAGACTTTAGTGTGCACAAAGTAAGTTCACGTTAGTGACAGAGAGAGGAAGGAGGGTGAGGAGGTCCCAGGAAGCCCGGGAAAAATGAGTGTGGAGACAGAAGCCATGGGGCAGAGGAGATAGCTGGGAGAGCAGAGGGGTGGGCCAGGCAGGGAGAGGCCGCCTCTGTTGCCTGGTGGGGGTCAGGGGCAGTGTGGAGGCAGGCTCTTGCTTCATCGCACTGGTCCTCCTCTGGCCTCTGTTCTTCACTTCCTCCTGTTCCCTGGGCCCTATTCTCTTCCTTCTAGAGCCTGGGGCCAGCCCTGCCCTGCTCTTTAGTCTCTCCAGGGGCTTAAGTACAAGGCCTGCGGCCGGCAGTGGGCCGGCAGTGGGCCAGCAGCACCTTCCAGCGGGTGTAGGTCTGGGCAGCCAGGTCCTTGAGTCTGGTCGGGTGTATGGCCTGGGGCCCCTCCCGGCTGCGGGTGCTGATGTGGCCGTCCAGCTGCATGCACGGCTGCTGCAGCTCTCCCCACGGGTGTGGAGGAACGTCCGGGCAGCTGACCACCACGCCAGCCAGTGTCAGGAGGCTGGGGCACAGGGAGCGGATCTTATGGTCTAGTTCGGCGCTGGCCTTTTGCTGTTGCTCCTGGCAGGTGGCAAGGTCTCGGAGCCCAGGTACTGCCGGAGGGATGACGGCCTCGTGAGGCTCAGGAGCTGGCTGAGCAAAGACAACTGGGCCTACTCTGGCCAGAGAGGGACTGTCTCTTGCTGGCCTAGCATCTGGGCAACAACCACAAGGCTGAGCTGGCTTTGAAGCTGCCTGCTCTGGGAGGTCAGAAGGGACCGCGCAGGCACCCGCGGGTCGTGGCGGTAATCGGACACCTTGCTCAGGGAGCCGCATGGCTGCTGGAGCTTCCCTGGCTGCTTCCAGGTGTCCTGGAGCAGTGGGAGCAGAGACTGTTAGAGGCTGGGCTTGGGCAGCAGGCGTAGCTCACGTCCAGGCTGACTTAGCACTGCGGCTCTGTCGGGCCCAAGAGGTCCCCGGCTGGGCTGGAGCACACAGTGTCAGGAAGTTATGGATGTAGCACAGCCTAATGTCCAAGGGAGTCTCTGGGGGAGTGTCTTGCTGCTCACGTCAGCTCAGGCTACTGCCACTTTCTTTTTAGTGATATTTTAAAAGTTTATTATTTTATTTTGAGAGAGAGAAAGCAGGGGAAGGGCAGAGAGAGAGCACGAGAGAGACCCCTAAGCAGGGTCCACACTGTCAGCACAGCGCCCAATGCAGGGCTTGATCTCACAGTTGATGAGATCATGACCTGAGCCGAGATTAAGAGTCAGATGTTTAACCAATTGAGCCACCCAAGTGCCCCATGGCCACTCTCACTTTTAGGCACTCTCCCACTGTACCAGCAGGGCCCCTGCAGGCCCAGAGCAGGGCTGTGAGCTCCCAGGATGTGAAATGCCTTCATGACCCCCTGCAGCAAGGGGGCACCACCAGTGCTTGTCTCCATCAGACTGATGGAAGAGTCCGTCTATGCTGAGATCCCAAAGGAGGCCAAAGACTCCTGAAGAAGTTTCTGAAGACTACATCAGCAGCTGGAAGAGCCACTGGAGCAGGAGCACCAGGTAGTCAGGAGTGTGCAGGTAGAGGCTGCACAGGAAGGAGAGCTGCTGGGTCAGCGGGCAGCTGAGGAACCCTTCCAGATGGCTACGTGGCTTCAGGTGTAAACAACCCAGGATGCAACACAAGGGGTAACACCTGGGTAGAAACAGTCTGTCCGGGACGTACTGGTAGGATGACCTGCAGTGACATGAAGAACCTCTACATCAGCATCCTGTGCTCAAGTGTGGCAGGCATTTCATCTTCTTCCAGATCCAGGGAGTCAAGGTCGGGACAGTTGTGCAGAAGCAGCTCGTCTTGCCCCTGCTCTAGGGCCTGTTCCTCCCGCTCCTGCACTAAGTGACCTAAGCTATTGATGTAGCTCACGTGGGTCCGCCAGGCCCCAGAGGTGAACTAGAGTAAGGTGTCGACATCACCATTGGAGCTAGAGTCTTTGGGCTTGGGCTGCCATGTTCAAGAACAGCTGCTCCAGTGAGGCCAGGCTTCCCTGGAGGTCTGAGTCCTGGGGTCTTGCTCTAACTCCTCACACAGTTGGTGGGCCCATGTCCTCAAGCTCTAAGGCCCTGCCATGGCCATGCATCTTTGAGCTGGGGTGCCCCCTGCCAGCCTACAGTACCCTCAGGTTCAGGAACTTGACAGGCAGTGGGTTTCAGTCATTGGGGAACATATCCCCAGCACCTTGGGCTTCTTTGACAATTTGAGACTCGGAGCTGAGGTGGGACTGCAGCAATGCCGGGTAGGGTAGAGGAGTCTCTGGTACAGTGGGGGTCAAGCAGCCGCCCTTCAGGTTGGGCATCACAGCAGCTGTCTGGACCCCTTCTCTCTGAGGAAGGGCTAGTGGTGTCTTCTGGGGCCTGGCCATCTGCCAACAGCTGGACATTTTGTCCTTCAGGGCCACCAGGGCCTCCCCATGCCCCCAGTGTTGCATGGGCAGATCGCAGCTGGGCAGGCAACAGCTGTCCAGCACTCGGGCACATGCAGACGGCCCCACGTACCCATTTTCTGATGATGCTTTTTCAAGCCAGTATTTTATATTGAAGTTTAAAAACTTTATTGAGCAAAAAAATAGCCTTTATCTTTCTCTCTTAAAAAGTAATCATCTTGGGGCACGTGGGTGGCTCAGTCAGTTAAGCATCCAGCTCTTGATTTTGGTCCAGGTCATAATCTTGAGGTTCATGGGATCAAGTTTCACGTGGCAGAACTCACTTGGGATTCTCTCTCTCCCTCTTTCTACCCCTCTCTCTCAAAATAAATAAAAATTTAAAAAAGAGTAACAAACACCCCTTTCTCTCAAAATAAATAAATAAAAATTTAAAAAAGAGTAACAAACACCTTTAAAAACAGTCATCTTGCTACAAAACAAGTTTTGATAAATTTTTAAAAGATTGAAATCAGGGGCTCCTGGGTGGCTCAGTTGGTTAAGCATCCGACTTCGACTCAGGTCATGATCTCACAGTTTGTGGGTTCGAGTCCTGTGTCGAGCTTTGTGCTGACAGCTAGCTCAGAGCCTGGAGCCTGTTCAGATTCTGTATCTCCCTCTCTCTCTGACCCTCCGCTGCTCGCGCTGTCTCTCTCTCTCTCAGAAATAAATAAAACATTAAAAAAATTTTAAAGTTTGAAATCATACAAAGTATCATTTCTAGTCAAAATAAAACAAGAAATCAACAGCAGAAGGAAAGCTGAAAAAATCCACACATGGGTGGGAATTAAACAATACAGTTGACCCTTAAATGATACAGGTCCACTTATAGGTGGGTTTTTTTTTTTACAGAGATTATTGTTTGTAATACAATATATAGAGTATTGTAAATATATTTTATTTATGATTTTCTTTCTTATATTTTCTTTTTTTAAATTTTTTTTCAGTGTTTTATTTATTTCTAGGAGAGAGAGACAGCGTGAGCAGGGGAGGGTCAGAGAGAGAGGGAGACACAGAATCTGAAACAGGCTCCAGGCTCTGAGCTAGCTGAGAGCACAGAGCCCGATGTGGGGCTCGAACCCACTAACCACGAGATCATGACCTAAGTGAAAGTTGGACGCTTAACCGACTAAGCCACCCAGGCGCCCCTTCTTTCTTATATTTTCTTAACCTTTTCTTTTCTCTAGCTTACTGTGTTGTAAGAATACAATATATAATACA